ATATTTTATCTAATAATTAGTCAATCATTTCTTTTATGCATCATTGGGTTTAGAAAATAAATTTATACATTTTTTTTTCTATAATTCTAAATGGTCCTATTTTTATTTTATGTTTTAATGAATGATATTAGAAATTCCCAATTTTTAGGGTGATGTTGTTTTTAATACTTTAAAATAATGCCACCTATTGCGGTGTTTGGAAAGTGACTATTTTAAAGGTTTTTTTGATGTTTTAATAGGTTATTTTAATTTTTGTGTTTGAAAAGGTGGATTGAATTTTTTGTTTGATTATTATATTGAAAAATATGTTTGAAATGATGTTGAGATAAAAAATAACTAAATTATTCCGAAAAAGGTATGTCTGACATGATGAAGAGACAGCAAGGACATGGTGATTGATTTGTTAGGATATGAAATTACTAAATTGCCCCTATGAGTTAGAATGCTAAGTTGGTGGGTTAGTTAAAAATTAAACGGTAAAATGGTAATTTCAAATACGGTCGTGCTAGGGAGCTCGAAAATGAGCTCCCCGAATCCCCCTAATCTAAAAACGACGTCATTTCGACGTTTGAAATTTTTTTTTTTTTTTTTTTTTTTTTTAGAAGGGAGAAGAATAAGGAAGAGGAGGGGGAGAGGGAGGAGGAGGAGGAGGAGGAAGGAGGAGGGGGAGGGACTGGAGGGGGCCCAACAAATGGGGCTGGAGGCGGAGGCAGGGGGCGGAGGCGACGAGCTGACGATCGGCGGAGGCGACGAGCTGCTGCTGCTGCCGTTTTATTTTTTTTTTTTTTTTGCAGATCAGAAGAAGGGAGAAGAAGAAGGAGGAAGAGGGGGAGGGGGAGGGATTGGAGGGGGCCCAACAAATAGGGCTGGAGGCGGTGGCGGGGGGCGGGGGGCGGAGGCGACGAGCTGACGATCGGCGGAGGCGACGAGTTGCTGCTGCTGCGATGATCGGCGACGGCAAAGGCACAGGCGACGATCGGCAAGCTTTCTCTCTCTCTCCTCCTCTTCCCCTTTCTTCTCTTTCTCTCCCTCTGCAGACTCGAAGGAAAATGGAAGGAAGAAGACTCAAAAATGGAGGAAAAAAAGAAAAAGAAAAAAAAGGCTAATGCCCAAAACGACGTCGTTTTGGGCATTAGGGGGATTTGGGGGGGCAATCTCTCGAGCTACCAAACATTATTCTTTCAAATATGCCCTACACTTCTGCCAAATTGTCTGTGTCAATTTCTGATAAAAACAAAAAAATAAAAAAACTCAGCTACAGTTAGGCTTTTTGGCTATTTATTTGAATGAGGCTAAAACAGTCTCACATTTTCCTTCCCAAACACTGTCATTATAAATTGTAATAACTATGGTATAATTGTTACACTATTTTAGGGAAACTTATTACAAAATTCTTTTTCAAGTGTTTGTATTTCAGTTAGTCTATAAGATATTCTTATTATCTATTATTTGAACATTTAATTTATCAAATTTTAATTCTCATATTTAAAGTATTTTATGAACGTTTCTACCTTCACAAATATTTTTTAAACAGTTAATAATTTAATATTGTGAACATTCATATTTTATAATATGAATATTCATATTAACAGTGTGAACATTTATATTGATATGTAAACATTTATATTGACGATTTGAACATTCATATTGACAGTGTGAACATTCACATCACAGAATAGTCACACTATAAATGTGAATATTATTAGAAATACTTTGATAGCTATATCATAAGATTTATTGAAATATAAAAAATTAATTTATGCTAAATTAAATATAAATAAATGAAAAGAAATTTATGAAAAATTACAACCTTTTTTAAGTTGGAAGAAAGGGAATAGGGTTGTTTCAACTCTGCTATAACAAGACTTGTACGGGACAAATAGTATTGTACCGTACCAGTAAAAAAAAAATGGTACACAAAAAGCAAGACTATACAAAAAGTGTGCTAGTTGTTCTTTAAAAAAAAAAAAAAAGTGTGCTGCTAGTTATGTTATAGTTGACTTCGTTGACAAAAGTCATCTTTTTTGACGTTGTTGACGAATTTTTACTTCATGATAATTTTGATAGTTTCCACCATTTTTTAAAATTATTTAGGTTTCATTTGAAAATTTAAGATAGCGTTTCATAGAATTTTTTAAATATAATTTGAAAATATAAATTATATTTTGAGTTTGTGTATTTTAAAATTATGATTTGAGTGTGAAAATTTTGTTTGGTGAAAAAGTTTTGAATTGAATGAGAAAATTTTTTATGTGACATATAATATTTGATACGAAAATTTACAATTCATAACCAAACATACAGCTCAAAATTCTATTAAAACTCATAAAAAATTTTAAAATTTGGAAAATATTTTATTTAAATATATAAAAATTAACATGTGTCAATTGTAAAAAAAAAAATTACACTGTTTCGGTTAACCGTCGGACAACTGGTTAGTTCAAATTTTTCCCCATTCAACTGAGTTTTCAAAAGTGAACGTGAAATTAATTTTTAAAAATTATAAACAAACGTCATATGCAAACTAAGGTCAAGTTTGGCATGATTGAAAAAAGACAAAAAGTCAAAAAATCACTATCCTATTTAAGTCACATCATCTTATTTAAGTCACACCACCTCTCAAACACATCACTTCAAACCCAACCCAAACCCAACTCATATTTCATAAAAAGTCAAAAAATACACTTATTTATCTTCCTAAACTAGGCTTAAAAGATGAAACTAAAATTCTAAAACCCTTCTAAACACAGCCTAACTGTTTTAGTGATATTTTTTTATAAGATATAAACGAAAGTGTTTGAAAATAATTTTTTTAATTAAGTAGGCGGTTATAAGTAAATAAATTAATTATTTGATTTGTATAGATGTTGAAATTTTGACTTTTTTCTACTTTATATTAACTTTTAAGTCTGAAGCCACTCCTTAATTTGAATTTGGCATTTGCATTGAATTAATTGGGTTTCTCTTAAATTCAACATGAACCTCACCGTCATGTTTAGGCTTGTGGAACTCTCTGCGAATTTCATTTCAATTATTTAAATTATTTATTTTGTAAATATATTATAATTATTGAATTGATCTAATTTCTTTCATGAATAAAATACATTGAGAATATTATAAAATGAACGATTCGAATAATTAAAATGAGACTTACAATGGACTTTATGAGTTTAACCATGACAGTCAAGTTCAGATTTTAAAAGAAATTCAAATCATCTAAATTTTAGTAGTTTTTTGTTGTTTTACTTTTTTTTTGTAATAAAATTATTGTTAAAAAATTGATGCGGTTAGCGAATGTTAAAAAGTTAGCCTTCTTGTTAATAGGAGAAAGTTCAATTGTGATAAACACTCTCGTACATATATGACTCTCATAGCTCTCACTCTCATTCCAACCACTCATAATATAAGGGCTCATGTATATAGGAGTAAATCCTACATACATATCAAAAGCCAAGATTAAATTGAAGGTTATGAAACTCTCAAAAAAGGGGATCTAAAACATTTCTCGGAAAGTTCAGGTAAATTGATTTTCTTTTTACGTTTGGCCCTTAATTGAAATTTGAAATAGTTCCTCCTAGGCCGAATGTTTTTTTATTATGAAGTTTGTGTATATCTTCTGTTTTTTTTGTACCACATACCATTTTCTTGTTGGTATGGTACAATCCAACTGGTGGAGCAAAGGTACTTAACAAAACAAGAGAATTTAAATTTGCTTTTGAAGTGCAACAACTAACAAGCACTGTTTCATATATATGTTTTGGAAATGATAAAAAGTAGTAATTGCTTATTCATAGAAACTTTTATTTTTGGGTAAATTATACTTCCATTTTTGAAATTTAGATTTAATATATATTACCCGTTGATTTTTAGAAAATTACACTAACTCCCTTGTCATTATAATTATTTAGACAAAATAAGAATATTGAATTTACGCACTCTCTTTTTCTTTTCTTTTTTTCCTTTGTTTTACTTTTTTTTTCAATGTAATTTTCTTTATTTTTTTCTATTAGGAGTTGTTGTCTTTTATATAAGTAATGAGGTTTGTGAAATGAAACTATTAACCACAGGGATGAGAATGTAATTTCTAAAGTGTTAGGGAAGTAGGATATAATTAAACCAAATCTCAAAGAGTGTCAGTGTAATTTATCCTTTATTTTTTTGATAATTAGGTAAGTTAACGATTAGAATAAATCTCTAGTAACTTCTTGAGATGATTCGAATTCGAAATTTTAAATTTTATTTTTGAGTTTGGATAATGTTAACAAATGCACATGACATTTGATAAGATGCATTTAAAGTGTATTAATTGGTTTTTAGTAATTTTTTAATTTTAACTTATTAATGTGTATTTATCATATGCAAACTATGTCATTTCTAATTTTAATTATTATAAATAACATAACTCAATATTATAAAGTTATAATTATAAAAAAATAAATTATAATCAAGTGCGCATAAGATATGACAATTAACTCTTAAATTATAATCAAAATATCAATATAAGAGAGTATTTGTAATGAACTAAATAAGTTTATTTTTGACTTTTCATAATAAAAAAAAAGAGAATAAAATATGAGTTAAATTTAAAATAGTGTAATAAATCGATGACATGATCTAAATAAAATAATGTGTTATAAATTATTTTAACACATGTCAAATACCACATAAGCCTTAACAAGTTTGATTTTAAAACTACAGTCTATTTTTCTGAACAAATAAAATATTTTTTTTTTCAGAAATAATTTGTACTTATTAATTAAAAATAAATTAATAAAATCATTTTAACAGAGCCACGTAGCCAGCCATTATATAAGTAAAAAATTTAATACATTATTTAAGTTCATATTTTAAACCCCATGTTATTACACTACTGGATTAAATGTACGGAGTGGGACTCAGCTAAATTACTCCAAACCAGAACCGCGTCTTCCCCACACACTCTCTCTCTCTCTCTCTCTCTCTCTATCTGTGTCTCCATTATTTATACTACCAAACCCCTCTGTCTCTCTTACAATCTCTCTCTCTCTCTCTAAAATGGCATCAAGAGCCACCATACTCGTGCTCATTGTCTTTTCCTTCCTCTTCCTCTCTTCTATCTCCACCGCTCTCGAATACCAGACCTTACTTGTAACCTCTCTCCCCAATCCACACACCCTCTCCTCATCGACCACCCAACAAGACTCTCAAATCCCACAACCACCCAACTCCCAGACCTCTCTCTCTCTCCAGCTCCACCACCGCGACTCTCTCTCCTCCAACTCCACTCCCGAATCCCTCTTCCACCTCCGCCTCCAACGCGACGCCTCCAGGTCCTCCGCCATCTTCCGCCGCGCCACCAACTTCAGCAGCTCCGTCATCTCCGGCCTTGCCCAAGGCAGCGGCGAGTACTTCACTCGCCTAGGCATCGGCACTCCACCCAAATATTCATACATGGTTTTGGACACTGGGAGCGACGTCGTCTGGACCCAATGCCTTCCTTGCAACAGCTGCTACCCTCAGTCGGACCCTCGCTTCAATCCGAAGAAATCGGCGACTTTCGTCTTCGTCAAATGTGGGTCTCTGCTCTGTCTCCAACTCGATTCGCGAAGCTGCAATCACAAAACATGCAACTACCGGGTCGAGTACGGCGACGGATCGTTCACCGCCGGCGAATTATCCACCGAAACGCTCACGTTTCGAGGGACAAGAGTGAAGAACGTCGCTCTGGGTTGCGGTCACGACAACGAGGGTTTGTTCGTCGGCGCGGCCGGTTTATTGGGTTTAGGCCGGGGAAAGTTGTCGTTTCCGAGTCAGACCGGTCGGCGATTCGGCCGGAAATTCTCCTACTGCTTGGTCGACCGGTCCGCTTCGTCTCAACCGTCTTCAATCATGTTCGGCGAACCGGCTGTTTCTCGAACCGCCGTCTTCACTCCCTTACTCACAAATCCTAGAATCGACACTTTCTACTACGTCGGTCTCACCGGAATCAGCGTCGGCGGATCTTGGGTCAAGGGCATCACGGCGGCGCAATTCAAGCTCGACGCCGCCGGCAACGGCGGGGTCATCATTGACTCCGGCACCTCCGTGACCCGCTTGACCCAACCCGCTTACACAGCGTTCCGAAACGCTTTTATATCCGGAGCGTCCGATTTGAAACGGGCACCCGGCTTCTCGCTCTTCGATACCTGCTTCGATCTATCGGGGAAGTCAGAGGTTAGGGTTCCGACCGTGGTGCTTCACTTCGTCCGTGCTGACGTCTCTTTGCCGGCGGCGAATTATCTGATTCCGGTGGATAGTAAGGGAACCTTTTGCTTTGCATTTGCGGGTACGATGAGCGGGCTATCCATAATTGGCAACATCCAGCAGCAGGGATTCCGGGTCGTGTACGATTTGACGGGTTCTCGGGTCGGGTTTTCTCCGAACGGGTGTGCTTGATTGGGTGGTGGGAAAATTTCTTTCCCTTAAGATTCTTTGAGGAGAAGAAAATTATACATACTAGTGAAGGAGGAAACATCTTCACGTGTTGTTTGTTGAATTTATGGATTAAATTATTATTGCTCTTTAATTACAGGGCAAAGATAAGGATGGTGGTAGAATTAAATTTGTATTATTTTTAGCTTTTTATTTATATTATTATGTCATAATTAATGCCATGGGTTAAATTTACCAAACAAAAATGTTATACATTTTGTTTTTGTACCCAAAAAAAATTCAATGAAGAATGATGTGATTGATTTGTGTTTTATTAGTTTATAATTTTAAGAATGTATTTAGTATTTTGTATTTTTGGATTTGTGTTTTATTAGTTTATAATTTTAAGAATGTATTTAGTAGGGGGGGGGTTAGAATTTTCTTTTGGAATTTGTTAACAAAAACATTAGAGTCATTAATTAAAATTGTTAAATCATTTTGTAGCCATAAAGTATGTCGGGCTCACTTCATTATAAAATTATAAATGATGTTGAATTATTTTAAATTTTATTATGTACTTGATTTTGTTCACTTTTCATTTTGTCTTTTTATTTTTTTAAAAATAAAATTTCATCTTTTATTCTCTTCACAAATTTTAACTCTATTTTTTTTTTAAGAAAAATAATATACCAACACATTTTTTAAATCCATTTTATAAACTCAATAATGTATAAACGATATGATTGATTGATGATTAAAAAATAAGTAAGAGAGTATTATATTTAGGGTCCAGCTTCTGTCCAGTCCAGGATCGGACTGGACCGTACTGTTAGGCTCGTGGGGGCCCACCACGGGTTCCGTTTTGAAAATCTGAACAGTTCAATGTGTAGAACTCGTCGAATATTACATGTCTGTAAAAAATCACATTGATTGGATATCGATAGCTATGTGATCAAATCAGTTTTGTATAAAAAAAAATGGACGGTAAAAAAATTAACGGTTGATAAAAAACTGTTTTGTTCACATAGCTATCGATATCCGATCAACGTGATTTTTTATAGGTATATAGTACTCGGCGAGTTCTACACATTGAACGGTTCAGATTATCAAAATGGGGCCCGCGGTGGGCCCCACAGACCCAACAACACGGTCCAGTCCGGCAGAAGCCCTGGCCTATATTTAATATCTTAATTGATTATGCCATCACTTGGCGTGAAAATTGAATCTAATTTTTTTTGTCTTAAATAACAATGGCTATGTTTGGTTCCATTTTTCTAAAAACAGTTTTCAGAAAACTATACTTTTTTATTTTTCGTGTTTTTTTGTTTTTACTAAATTTTTTTAATATTTTATGCAATTTTTTTACTTTTTAGACATACCTAACATAAATACACAAAAAAAGTAAAAAAATTATAAAAAAAAATCTTTTAGAAAATCACTAAATACCAAAAATATAAAAAAATATATATAAAAATTCAGTTAATTTTTTTATGTATTTTTATGTATTTCTTAATTTTTTAAAATATTTTTTCACATTTTTTTACTTTTTAGATATATCTAAGTAAGGTACATCTAAAAAAGTAAAAAAAATGTTTAAAATTTTAAAAATATTTACTAAAAACAAAAAAATACGAAAACTAAAAAACTCAATTTTTAAAAAACTTAATTCAGAAAACCTAAACCAAACACACTGAATGTTTTTTTTTAAAAAAAAATCTAAACACAGCTTTAAAGTTTAAAATGGCATTACTTTTTTGTCATAATGTTAAGAGCATAAAATTGAAATATTAAATAAATTGTAACAAATGTGTTGACACAACAACATTTATATAAATCCCATTACTAGATTTAATTTCAAATCCTTCATTATGCTTTCTATTAATGTTGGCTACACATTTTGTGCTAGTGAGTAACAAATGTGTTGACACAACAACATTTATATAAATCCCATTACTAGATTTAATTTCAAATCCTTCATTATGCTTTCTATTAATGTTGGCAACACATTTTGTGCTAGTCAGTGACAATTCGACGCGTGGCAAAGTAAGGGTAATATGGGGAGACCAGGTAGGTCTCCGATCCTGATCATACACGTGGCAGTTAATATTGGTTGTTATAAAATCTGAGTAGTAGCGGATCAACAAAGAAATATACGGTGACGTAGCTTCAACGGTTGCTCACATTCAAATTCGAATATAGGGGGGAAGCCTAACTGCAAGTGAAGGCGTAGTGGAACTACTTATAAGGTAGCATGATCAGCGATCACAGAGGAGCAGTTCGACGGTTTGAAGTACAATTCGATGGTTATCTTCGGAGAGTATAAATAGCAGGAAGGACTTCAGAAAAAGGGACGAAGAAAGATCTAAAGAAAATCAGTCTTACTTTACATATTCCAGTGTTATTTCCTGTCCTTTACATTTCCGTACTTTAAGTTCCTGCGCTGCACTTCATTTGTAGGAGTAGTTTTCGAGTATATTGCCGCTTTAATTCTCTACGGAACTGAGATCATTGTAAGTTCTTTTATATTTCATACTAATGAAATGCTTCAGTTTATTTAACTTTCTTATGCTCAAGTTCTCTGAAGTCAAATTACCAGTAAGCCACCAGTAAAAATCCTCTTTATTGAGGCTAAAAGAACCATAACACAATCGTCTGAATAATTGTTTGGCAATTACAATTCTGTAAGGACTGATTGATCCTTGCTGGCACGCTCATAATTACAAAAATAACCTTCGAAAGCCAAAAACCAACATATATTTTTGGACGCCCAGTGGGACCTTTTAAAAAATGGCTAGACGTAGGAGACAAGGAGAGAATGAACGATTGGAAGAAGGCGTGGAAGGAGAAGTAGAGACATCCAATCACAGGATAATGTGATAACACATCCTGTGGAGACTCCTACTTTATCAGAACCCATGGTCTAACAGACCAATACTTCAGAGCAAATACCATTTGTTCGTAATAGTGGACGAGACCAAGGAATTGGACCATCTAGTGTCCCATCTACCCAGCCAGTCAACCGTGGGGCGGCTTAGTAGATGCTATGAGGACAGCAATTAATAAACACAATGAAAAGTGGGCAGTATCCTTTTTGGATCGAATGAATACACACCAACCAACAAATATAAGACACATAGAGGAAGTAAATGTCCCTAACAAGATTGGCTAGACAGCCTATGCAAGCTAATGGACATTCCAATGGTCAAACAGTAATCAGATTCATGAAAGATTACCACCTCAGTCTTGGTACGAACCTATTTCGAGGCCTGCGGCAGGCCAAATGCCTCAATGTTAACAGTGAAGCCATGCAAATTGGTGGATCTGGCCCAGTACAAGAAAATGGCATAAAAATGGTTCCAAATCCCACATTCGAAGCCTTACCTGGCACTAGGGGGTACAATAATCCCTTATTCAAATTTATACACGGGGGTTGGAAGGTTTCCCTACAAGTGGAAGGGATACAATACCTGTTCCAGCACCTTTCGTGGTCCTTTTCGTAGGACAGCTCAAAGAGGTTACTTACACCCCCAACAGCAGCCTGTACCACAGGGACAGCCAGTCCCGAACGTGCCACCTTATGGACCAAGGGGACCACAAGCACAAGCTTGTCCGTCAAATCTGTGTTTGTTCCCCCAGTAGTGGTTCAGCAGGCACAAAATATGGTCCCTAGGGACCAAATTACTGAGATAGTTAGGGAGTTGTGTGGACCAATGGCTCGGGGGTCCAAACTCCTGTGTATAGAAAAATCATACCCAGTGCTAGAAATTTGTGTGTTAATTAATAAGATTAGTTGACATGTATATAATATGATAGTGGTGTTTGGGTAGATAGTGGCATGTATAGAATATGTGATAGTGTGTGTGGTAGATAGTGGCATGTATAGAATATGTGGATAGTGGTGTTGGTGGTAGATAGTGGCATGTATATAATATGTTAGTTGGTAGATAGTGGTAATATATAATATGTAAGTGGCAGTATAATGGGTTATTAAATGATGTTTGTAATAATTCTCCTCTATAAGGAGTGTCATTTTGGTTCTTGTAAGATAGAGAGTTTTTGAATATAACAGAAATATATTCCTTCTTCCTCATATTTTTCAGATTCTCTCCTCATATTTTCTAAGTGGTATCAGAGCAACAAAAAACACAGCAGCCCTAAAACCGTCATAAGCCATATCGGAAGTCACGTCCGGAAACCACTTCAAACCCCTGCCGCTTGCCATTTCCAGTGAAAACGTCTAACTCTCACTCTGTCCAAATCACCACCATCCGCGTAAATGTGAATTTTCTCGCTGGTACAATCTGTCCGGATTGTATATCCGTGGCAAGGAAAGATCAGTTACATCACTGGTGACAAGGAAGGCTCCTGCTGTTAATGATCCGCTATTCGACAGTTGGGACGCTGAAAACTCCATGGTTTATGACATGGGTTGTCAATCCATGGAGGAGGATATAAGCCTAATTACATGCGCTATACTACTGCACAAGAGTTGTGGGATAATTGTTAGTAGATGTATATCTCTCTCTTGTT